TCAGTTGCTAAATATTACCTTTTACTTTTAAATAATGGAAGTTAATTTATTTTGGTTTCATTTCATTACATTGTTCCAGGGTTAATTCCTTGGAGGTTTTGACACCCCTGGAGACTGGTTAACATCCGACAGCAGCTCCTCATGTTTTGTATGACTGCCTGGTTCTATTTTTTATTTTCCAAATAAAAATGAACTTTCTTTTCTCCTTGTAAAATGAGTGAAAATAAAATTCCTGTGAAGATCTACTTCATTTTTTTTTTTTTTTTACTATCTTAGAGCTCCTTATATTTAGGAAGGACTGTAAAAATGTTTTATGTGGAAATGTCATTTGCTTGACTCCTTCCACTGATTTTTCACTAACTAATATCAATTCAGTTGGATTCCTGAGGAGAGATTAATTAGCAGTGCATGACTTAATTGCATGAAAATAAAGAGGAATTTTGAAGAATGTCAGGAGTAGCTTCATTGCCTATCAAAATGTCATTAATATGTTTATATCCTTTGTTCTGTGAAAGAAAATGGGATCATTTTGACTTATCAGTTATTATTAAAAATAGCTGACACTGTACTCTGAATGGAGGATTTTCTAGAGAATCAATAAGATAATTTATCTTATAACAGTAAGGTACCTCAGGAAAAGCCATGCTTAATTCATTCCCTCCAGACACTCGTCTTCTTCATCGCCATTTGCACATTAGAGGTTTGTGAACTGAGGAGCAGGAGCAGTAATCCACTGAGGCGGAAGCTCTTGCACCTTATTATCCTGTGAAATTCTATTTTTCTTTCAGGTGAAATTGCCTTTTCTCTTTCAAATCCATATGGGAGATTAAAGACTGAGATTATTGAGACCATATAAGATACTCTCATTCACAATTGGTTAGAGAAATTTAGTACACCTTTTCCTGAGAAGCAATTTTGCAAGAGCCTTAAACATGCTTTATATTTTACTCACTAATTTTGTTTCTAAAAATCTGTGCTTTGCTGATCTGATATAAGCAGGATATTTGTTGTATCCTGGTTTAAGAAAGGGAAAGCAGGATATATCGATGTTAAATGTAATGTGATGGTTAAATTGTGCTATGACTATGATGGAACAATATGCAATGAATGATTGAAATTGTATTTTTAAGTATTTTATGGCATGTACATTTTGATTGATTATAATTTTGAGTGATCATAGTATAAAATAAAACTTTAGAGGATAACAAAAGTTGTTATGCAAGATATATAAAATATTTTGCATATTTTATATAGTGAATATTAGGGTACATTTTAAGATATATTCACAGAGTATCTAAGAGAAAGGACAAAACTCTGAGTCTTTGACTCTCTGTAATCAATATTTCCTTAGTGGATCTTACTTTAATTTCTTGGCTTCTGTGGTGGTTATCATATTTAGAGTCCCTCTTTTTCTAAGGTTTTTCAACATTACTAATACCATAATGGATCAAGGTGATAGAGGGGAGAAACATTTATCAAAAATTCACTCTAAATATCTAACTCAAGTCCTTTTCATTTATTCACAGAAACTTGCATTTCAAATTAGATGACTTCCCCTTAGCAAATAATAATGGAATATAAAGAACTTAGCAATAAATTCTTATGTCTTTATCAACACATTCAAATATGCAATACATTTATTGAAGCTAAAATTAATGTATGTAGAAATGGAAAGCAAATTTCCAACAAAATCTTGGCTATTCAGTGGTAGAAGTGGGGTATTAATAGCTTATAAATAAACTATGGATTTGAATTATTTGACCTTATATAGTTTCTAGAAATCAGTATTTATGTTCTTGCAGTACATAGAGAACCAAAAACATCCAAATGTGTCAGATGTTATATTTTATTGCTGGTTGATCTTCATTCGGGAATATGGCTTCAGAGATAGGACGCAAGAACTTTTGCTAGTAATTTGTTTAAAAGACCTCAGAAGATCACATAATATTTATAAGATACATTTGCCTTATCTGTAAAAATGGAGCATTGGATAAGGCACTGCATAGTATTAACACACATAGACAAAGCAGTGCTCAATAACTGTAGTTGAATGAATGAATGGCTGCCTAGCAGGGATTCTTCCAGCATAGATTTTGCTTGTATCTGTCTTATATATTGGGCATAAGGTATGTTTTTTTTCAAAATACTAAAAATATATTTTTTAGCTGAAGACAAATGTGTAAAATCTCTAGTAATAATTCTGTTACTATTTTATGTTATTAAAAAATAACAACAAATCACAACACCTCTGACTCTCATTTTTGTCTTTAACATATTCCTAAATTTTGTGATGATTCTGTGTAGAAACTGTATTTATGGCCAAGAAAGGGATGCTATGTGCTTTGACAAATATCAGAGAAGACTGGGTAGAAAAAGAGAGGATAGGTTGTGCTTGAGAAGGGGAAAGCATATGTGAGGGTCAGGAGAGAGCATGGCAAATTGGGTGGGGAGAAAGATGTGGCCTTGGAGGGAGGGAGTAGGGATGGAGGCTCCTGAGGTTCAGAGCCTTCTGTGCTTGGTTAGAATTTTGGCTTTACCTGGTGGGAAAGCAAGACATCAGATATTTTAAGAAAGTAACCATAACATGATCATATTTGTTTTACTACAAATTCATTTTATCTTAGTGTTGAGTTTAGACTTTTGGAGCCTGAGGGATATCTGCTATGATACCACTTGACCTTGGTTTTAATAATTATCATAAATAATATCAAAGAGTTTTTATTTTTCAAAATGTGGCATTCTCTCTTTTTTTTTTTTTTTTTTGTTCAGGGCTGGTTTGCAAAGTTCTACATAATGGTTCCTTATATAGTCATAGCTCTTCCAAAGGGAAAACTTATTGCCTCTCTTAATTAAGAATCTATTTAATTTAAAATTATCCTGATGTGAAGAGGGGAGAAATAATCAACTCTGGAGACAAACAAAAGTCACTTTTAACCTGAATATTTTCTTCTGCCATGTAATTGTATTTGTTGGTACTATAAGATGCCCATTAGGGAGCCTGAGCAGAAGAAATTGGATCTGACAGTCAAGACAGAATACATTGAAACTGGGACCACTGGTCTAAGTTTAAGAGCTACTTTGAATGATATTTTTATTCTATCACATAAAACTAAATTTTTCCTTGCTTAAGAAAGTTATTAGTGTTTTCATTTCCAGGGTAAATAATGCTGTACTTACATTTTGATAGCAGACACACCATGTCAGGCACATATTCTATGTAGGGTAGGGGAAGAAGCTTTCCACTGGGTGTGACTGGTTGACCTATTTTAACACTTGGTTTTGACTTGCCACCTAGAGCTTCCAGACATAAGTATATACCATCCATCACAATGATCAATGAGCTCGGGTCGTAAGTGGAGCAAAACAAAATAGAGATGATGCATTTAAAATATAATAAAAAAATCCTCTCTTGAAAAGCCACTTAACAGAGAATATTGTAAATATTGAAAAATTCCAATTGTAATATGAATGCTAAAAGAAAGTACTAAAAGAACAGAAAATGACTCTTAACCAAATGAATCTAAAACAATGAAAAAAGTCCTTTGTGGTAAATGGATAGAAACAGAGCAGTCCATTTTCCATTAAACTATTCAGTGTAATGTGTATGTATATGTGTATTTTAAAAATATGTTATTTTAGTTTTTTGCTTTCCTGGACCAAATTTCACTTTCAACTTGAGTGCTTATAATATCTTCAGATACATAATAAAATATTTTCTTAATTCCATTTGGAAATTTAACAAACCCCCCAGATGTAGGCTTTAGACAGGGGTGGAAAGTGAAACAAGTAAGTTGCTTTTGAAGAAAGTAAAGCAATAATAAACTGTAGAAATACACGTGTTCCAAAGGGATAATAAAAGCTAGCATTTCTTTAACCTTTTAGCCAGGCTAAACTGGAGTGTATTCATGCCCTTTTACTTAATTTTTGTAATGAGCTTATGATATAAGCACTGTCTTTATTCCCACTGAAATCCCATCAAAGAAAAACATTATAAAGAGTAGGTTACCAAGGGGGTTGGGGAAGGTCTCTAAATGAGTTCACAACTATATCTCAGAAGTGGGTAGTGGCGACTTCTGTAATCACATCCAGCTCAGTAATGTTCTGATTAAATGTGATGAGGTTGTCCATTTTAACCAGGGTATTTAAATGCCCTGTTGGAAATAAAAGCCAATAAAAGCTCTCTATGCCTCACTTTCTAAGAATGATTCTGCCATGTGTCCCTCTTCTAAAGGATGCCTAGAGCTTGCATTCTGCTACTGCCCTCAGCAATCTCGAGGAGTCAAAGATGGGAAGGAGCAAAGACTCCTATGCAAAATGATGTGTCCCCTGCTGATGCTGACATTTCCAGTTACCAAAGCCCTATGGAAGGCTGGTGAATGCCTTTTTCATCCTTGAATATATATATATATACACACACACACACACACACACACACACACACACACATATGTGTGTGTGTATGTGTGTAAAAGGAAAATATTTTAGACAAAAGAAAACATAAGAATAAAGCTATGTCAGCTAGCAAGTTGAATTCCCAAAGTGCTTTGGTTGATTATAGTTAGCAAATATGAATCTGCCCACAATGGATGGTTCATAGTATCAAATATCAGTTTAGTTATGACATAGTTGTGACATATCAATTAGACTAAAATGAATGTTAATATCATTTTTTAATTGGCTCTTTGATGAAATGGTAGTAACTTTTTTCTGGGGCCCTTTCTGATCACAAGACTATGTTTTTGTCATGGGGAGACCGATTCTCTTCTTGAAGCATTCATTATGGAGTGTTGTATTATAATAACCCACATGAACATCAGCCTATTTCACTAGATTATTAGCTCCTTGAGACCGGAGTTGTGTCTTGTTAATTTTGCCTTCCCAGGAATTAGTAGAACATGCAGTAGACATCATCATAGTCAATAAATATTTGTTGGATTTTTTTTTCCTGAAATGGCCCCTTTCTCTTTACCTCTCACTTAATCATCTCTCACTTTCTTCAGGTCCTCTCCATCTGTCCCAAAGACATGAGAGCTGATATCTGTGTTCATCTAAACCGGAAGGTTTTTAATGAACATCCTGCTTTTCGATTGGCCAGCGATGGGTGTCTGCGAGCCTTGGCAGTAGAGTTCCAAACCATTCACTGTGCTCCTGGGGACCTCATTTACCACGCTGGAGAAAGTGTGGATGCCCTCTGCTTTGTGGTGTCGGGATCCTTGGAAGTCATCCAGGATGACGAGGTGGTGGCTATTTTAGGTACTGTGAACTTTCCTAATGTAGTAGTAAATGTGGAATGGTTTTAGAGATTTTCACTTGTCAGCTTTTTTAAACAGAAATTTCCTTTGTTTGGTGATTTTGGAAATTGGGTCACTAATGAGGTGATGAATCTCAGTGAAAACTAGGAATGCTGCTTCAGCAAAGAACATTCGTATCAGTCACAGCCTAATGGGCTGTGAGAGGGTTTGATTAAACTTTGGCAATAGTAGAACAGTACCTTTAAGCTATAGCTGCTTACAGCCCAAAGTGCTTTATAATCCCATGTTGGTAAGTGTGAACTGGATTTTGGAATGATCATCAAGTTAGTAACTCAGGGAGTTAGTCTCAGAGGGGTAATAGACTTATCTAGTTCAACCCTTTCCTTAAGAGGGGAGCCAACCAAGGCCCAGAAAAGTTTAGTGACTTGCCCAGCTAATAAATAAACAAGTTAGCTCGAGTATACATCATCTTACTCTTTATCTTTCTGCCTCATCTCAGTGTACCTAAGTAGTAAGATGAAGGAGGAGGAAGTTAATGAGTCTGATCCCTTACTGACATTTAGGTTTATAAAACTTGTTCTATCCATCCATCTTCATTAGCCAGGAAAATGATTTATCTAATAATAACTTTATTCTAAAATTCAGAGACCCAGGAAATAGTTATGCTAACAACGACACAAAGGAATCAATGGTGCATGTGACAAAATAAGAAGTGTACACATGTGGGCATGGGGTAGAAGATACAGCTTGGTAAAAAATTGCTAAGTGAACTTTTAGATCACTTTCTGCTCAAATATCTAATGCAGGATCATGAAATCCACGTAGGTATGCAAAGAGGCCAAAATGAGGTCAGACAAGAACCATCCCTTGTTTTTTCTCAGGTAAAATAAGAATTTCAGGATGTCAACTCCATTTTGATCACATTTTTCATGGTTTGTGTCTCGTGAAAAATGATCTCAATCTTTAAACTATTGGATTTTTAGCTACTGAGGTCAACCTACCATAGCTTGAATGCCACTTATTCTCATAAGGAAAAGATTGACCGATGGATTTTTAGAAACTATAAAAGCAAAACTGAAAACTGATTTCAAGTCCAACACAAAAATGAAAAACTGATTTCAAAAGGCACAATTACTTGAAGAAGACAGAATTCAGAATCGAGAAGAAATGACCTTTCCTAGGAAAACAGTTTCTGTAAAAAATCGAGTGATAGAAAATGGACCAGGCTTGTGAATGACTGAACAGCATTGTTTGTAAACCTTTTCTTCACTGCTTACAAACATTAGAGTTACAATTAAACTTCTTCTAGGAGCTGTTTTTTAAAAAATGCATTCGCAAGAAAAAGAACACAGCGCTTTTGGAATCCTCTGTGTGCTTAGTGCTCAGGGTGTGCTTAGTGCTCCTTAGTGCTTGTGTGCTTTGTTAATTGGAGAATAAAGGAAGCATAGATAATGCTTCATAAGAAGTGCACACATCACCAACATGATCCTTTGTGGCAAAACAAAGCATCTCCATTCTGCAACCATTCTTGTTTGCTTAAAGAGGAGGATAAGAGACAGATGTCTTTTATTTTCCTGAATGGTTCATGTCAATGGGGGGTGGTGGGAAAACAGACATCAAATATACTGCATGAGAGTGAGTACTGTCACCGTAAATTACCTCAGCTTGTAGATGCATGGTCATTTGTTTTGCACCATTTTCTTCATTACAGCTGCACCTTGGTAACTCCTTTTCTGAAAGAAGGTTGGAGAAAGCCCGGAGTACAGTGCCTCTGGGCTGGGTCTGTTAAAATGGAATCATTTGCTCAGTGAGACAGACAAAATGCATTTTCCTTTCATTTTAGAATAAAATGGTAACTGGTTCTGCCCAATGACACAGTAAAAATGAACACGGGGCCCCTGGATATTGGACCAGCCTTGTCATCTATCTGCCACATTCTATTTCTTGGAGTGTGTGCTTTTTTGTTCTTCATCTTCAAAAATCTTGTGATTCGGAGAAATTTTCATGTCTTGGATTCATGAATCAAATTGCATGGGTATTTCTCTGGCACCCTTCTTTCTTCTTTTTCCATAGGCCTGTAAGAAAGACTAATTCAACTGAGAGGTAATTAGATTGGGTTTTTGTTTTTTGGTTGACATTCAAAATGTTTGAGTACTGTTTTAAGGAAGGGGGAGGGGAAATTCTAGTTTAACCAGTATCACATCTAATAGTTCGGTGACTCTTTCTTTTAGTTTTTCTTTCTCTTCTTATTTTTTGGAAAAGAAAAATAGTAAGTATGAGCAGGGTGTATACTGTAATTTTTGTCTCCATCTACTCATCCATCTATTTTTAGGTTCTACCTTAATGAATAAGTTCATCAGGTTTTTATATCTTTACTTAGCAGGACTTGCTGTCTCCGACACCAAAGCATTTGCCAGTTGAAAAGTAGAGAAGGGAGGTCATTTCAAAATTAATTAGAATCTCTGAATCCAAAAACAGGTGCAGTTTTATTCTTTTGGATCCTTGCCTCTCTACAGTCTCTTGGTAGGTACGTAATTCTTTAGTGTGTCAAAAGTGCTAAGGAGTTTAATGAATAAGTTCTGAAGCATAACTAATTAATGGAAAGATTAAAAATGTAGTCAACAAATACCTCCTTCTTTTAACACCTGAGGACGGCTTCAAGATGTTTTTCTAAATAGGGCATTTGAGTATAATTGCAGTTCGTGTCTTTTGCCAACTTGAAGTTCTTTCAGTTCTTACACCTCCACCTTTTTTTGACCTTCCCACATTTTCTGAAACACAAAGAATTCCAAATTAAGTTCATGATGCATACATAATATTTTATATTCTTTAATGCCTTCTTACTTTTTAGTTCCTACTCTATAATTACTTAATGCGAACAGATTTATTGGTATGGTTGAAATAGCCAGGTTACTTCTAACTGTCTTGACAAGTATATTGTACCTTTCAGAGCCTATAAAAATAGCATTTCCCCACTAACAATAGACCCTACTCCTAAGACATTTGTTTTGTTGTATTCACATTTCATCTTTTCTCTCTTCATTGATTATTAGAATCACAGGATTAAAGTTCTTAAACTAAGATAATCTCTACCTTAAGGATCCTATTTGTAACTTCAGATTCCTAAAACGACCATGCTTGTGTATGAAGGGTTTTGGTAGAGAGGTCAAACATTTTTATATATTTGAGGGAAGGAGGAATAAGAGAGGAAAGGAAAGACAAATTAAATAAACTTAGAAATATTAGAAAGATGGTTTTAACACTTGGATCAAGATTCAATTTAAATTAGCACTTGTAATTTAAAATCCATCTCTTATACACATATGTACATTATCTGAGAAAACTTATAAATTATGGTTCACAAAATTCAAAGTCTGCTTATTTTTATTCCAAAAAGAAAAAACAATCTGAAATGTGAATGAATAATATTTTGCTATTTAGAGAATCTGTGAAAATGTGACTTTTATGCTGTGGTTAAGATTTTTTCCTGTATGCTTGCTATTAGACATCAAATGATTCACACTTTAAATCCTTAGAAAGGCCTTTCCCAAATTCTGAAAAATTGTTTTTCTGTGTATGTCCACATTTTTGTGTTTTTAAACGCTGAACTGTGAAATGTTTAGGATTATTCTACATATTATATAGATAAACTGTTCATTCAGACATTTTTATTGAGTAAAGCAATTGGTTTTTTTGTCTCTTCAAATACAAGCTTGTTCTATTTTAAATATTCTGAGAAACATTTATAACATTATTTATTTGGGATTCAAAGTGTGTACTTTCAGAGTTCCTCAGCCTTTAGATTATTTTTGATGAAATACAAATCTTTACAATTCTAGTAGTTTAGGCTCAACTTCAAACCCTCTCCCAGTACTCTTCAAAACTAAGTCTTTGTCCTTGGTATCTCTTAATCCTATCTTGGATATGTCTTCCCATGACAATTGCCTTATATGTCAACCTCCTTATTGGCATTCCTACCATGGCTTTCTAGAACCTTAAGATCAAAATGTATCTCCTGACTGGCCTGTGAGATCCTCTAGGCCCTGACCTCTGCCGTTCTTCCCAGTATATTTTGTGCCGTTCCCTGTACCTATCCTGTTCTTACCACACTGGATTGTAGGAAGCAGCCTGAATCCTATCAAACACTTACTGCTTTTGCAAGTGCCACTTCTGTTTAGAACACTTTTCCTAGTCTTTTTAGTTGTCTGTCTCTTGCTTCATCATTTACTCTCTCCTTTCTCATCCCAGTCTGGGGTAGGTACTTCCAGTGTGGATGTCTTACGGGGCTATTCGTGCATCCTGTTTTTATCTGTTACCTGTGTGCCCTCCCCTTGTGCAGTGAGCACTTGAAATGTTTTGCTCATTATTTTCTCACTGTCCTCTGTAATAGGATCCCTTAAACAGGTTCTCAGTAAAGGTTTGCTCAGGGCACCAAATGATACTTTACTCTGTCATTGAACTTTTTCTACTTTTTTTCCCCCAATTCTGGGTTCCTATCAAAAATATCATATTGCTCTGGGTGTGGTGGCACTGGTGGTGACTGTAATCCCAGTGGCTTGGGAGGCTGAGGCAAGAGGACAGCAAGTTCAAAGCCAGCCTCACCAACTTAGTGAGGCCCTAAGCAACTTAGGGAGAACTGTCTCAAAAAAAGAAAAAAAAAAGGGTGGGCTGGGGATGTTGCTAGGTGATTAAAACCCCCTGGGTTCAATACCTAGTACCAAAACAAAATGAGAAAAACAAACAAACAAACAAACAAACAAACACAACACACCTATGTTGTGTTCTGTTAACACAATTTCCATTTACTCTGTATTTTATGTTGAAACACTGATTACTTTCTGTTTCTCTTTTGTCTAGATGCTTATAATAAATATGTATTTTCTGAAAACTTCTAGCTTTAGCTTAGGTCTTTTATGGGCTGGGGAAACATTTTCTTGCTGTTACTTGGGCATTTTGAATACAGAAAACAGGAAGGGTCAAGGTATTCTAAGTATCTCAGGC